TCTTAACCCGAGGTACCACTGTACTTTTCTGGTTTATCACCACAACAGTTATTAACACTGGGTTTCATTAAAGCAAATAATTTAATTAGACAGTGCCTATATATCAAGCAACAGAATAATTTGGCCACGATAAGGAAATTTTATCCATGGTGTGATTATTTTCCACTTAGTCGTTTTGATACGTTGGCACCCTATTTGCTAAATTTATCAATTCCAAAATACAGACATGCTTTCACTTATGAAGATTAAATACCCTGCCTTCAGCTGTACTTGAGGGTCAATTTAAAAAACCCCGCTGGAAAAACGGTTATGTCCATGTAGAGATGGCAGTACTGTATTGAATCAGTAGCCCACGTGCTTCGAGCTTGCACTCTTTATAAAGATTTGAGGAGTGAGGTTATTCCCCCTCTACTACTATCCATACCAGGTCGCTCAACCATTGCTACTGTGTCCTTTATTCTAACAGATCAAGATAATCAGGTCGCAGCAAAAATTGCTAAAAAATAGGAGCAATTAGAATAAGATTATTTGAATATTGATGCCTAGAGTATGTATTTTGTATAGTTAAGTTTTTATCTCTATCTTCAGTACATTTTATTTTATTTTTGTGGCTAGTGGCTGATGCAAATATTCTTCTTCTAGCCTTCTAACTTTCAAAGCCACCAGAATTGGCAGCCATTGCTACATCTTTTAGAAGCAAATTCCATAGCCTTAACCTTCACTGTGTGAATTAGTACATGCCTCAGTCTGCCCTAAATCTCCTGCCATATGGCTTCATTTGTAGAGAAAAGGAGAAAAAACATTCCCTACTTACTCTCTTTACTCCATGCTTATCAGGTACAGGCATCCCTACGCATGTTCTTTTACATGGGTCACCACAAAATAAATTTTAAAAATTGATTGAAACAGCACTTCTTCCCTCCTTCAGTGCTGCTCTTGGTTGCTCGCTGCAAATTAATTCTCCTTCAATTAACATCTCCCAAAAAACCACTTTCCCCTTCCAGGTAACCCCATTTCTTTCCTCCATATTTTCTCCTCTTTCTTGACAGATGGTCTGATGGCCTGAATCAGTAGAAGGCAGCTTCTTCTATGTAACTGTCAAGTTCTGATAGAGAAGAGATCAGCCTGGCTCCAGCTATTTACAGTCACTTGTCGAAAAAGCTCTCACCTTTCTAACCATCAAGTAGAGCTGCATCTTAACTGACACATGCCCTGAGGACAGATGCTTCTAGCTAGTGCCAAAGGGTGTAGAGTGCTTGGGGATCATTAGGAGAGCATTTGGGGGAAAGATGTAATTCATCTGCAGTTGTATTCGAGCATTAAAAAGCAATGAAGTTTCCTTCAGCATTTATGAGTTCTGATAAACCAAATTCGGATGAAAACTGCCAAGTCTGGCATTTGAATGGGTAGACACATTGAAAGAGCAGGAAAGTAAGTTGGTAGCACTAGCAAATAGATAAGGATATAAAATGAGTATCAATAATATAGATCTTTTTTATTACAAATTTATTTGGTTTTTCAAATTAAAAATTTACAGTCACATATTAAACATACAACAGAAAAACAAGATTTCAAGGAATCTCCTGGACTTCCCTCCTCCCCTTTGTGGGTCCTATTGTTAATCATTTCCTCCTGCATCTTATACGATAATCCAAATCTTTTACATCTCCATTGTGTCCAAAATTCACCATTAAGCTACAAGTGATATTCCAATCCTAACAATTTTAACTGTTTACAATGGTTTTCATTGGTTATAAATTCCCCCCATTCAACAATATAGATCTAATATATTCTTTACAGAAAAGAAACCCCATTTTACATAGTTGCTTTATTCATTATTGGTAATGTGGTGGTGGGGAGGGAATTGCCCAGCATATGTCAGTTGTTTTCCTCCTCAAATTTAGAACAGAGACTCATCTTGGCCATTGGCTGCACAAAATATTCTAATCCTATGAAGATGATGGATTTTTCGGAGCTAGCCGACCTGACCGGAACAGTCCGCAACCAGGAGGAGGAGGAATATCAAGAGGAATGAAAGAAATTCAAAGACTATTTAGTTAAATATGTTAAGATAACTTAAATAGAATTACTTGTGAGTATCAGATTGGCTTAGGATTTAAATATGTGATGTTGTAGAATACTAGGGATAAAAGTTAAAATGAAAAGAAAGATGTTAATGGACTAAGTAAATTTTATGTGAAATCAGTTTTGGAAAACTGCTACAATCTTTTATATGGAAACTCAGCCAGGGGGATTTGAGAAAGTCACTTAACAATAACAAAAGCGGAATTTCTACAGTCAGGATATATGTTTGTTTGTTTTTTGATGTTTTATTTTCATGTTTGTGGATATGTTTGTTATAAATTTGGAAAACTTTTATATATATATATATATATATATATATATATATATATATATATATTTAAAAAACCCAAATATTCTAATCCTAAGGAACAGCAGTTAGCTTAAAAGTACTTCCTAGTAGCTTAAGCATTTCCTTGCACATGCTGCTTGGTAAGCCCCCAAAGCCATGATCCAGTCAAGGTTCACCATTTTCAAGTCTTACTGATTTGGTGGAGGATACGCGATGTATGCGCAACACTTTTATTTATTATAGTCATATTCCACATTTCCTCCAAGGAGTTTAAGGTGACATGCATGGTTCTCCCAATTTTATCCTCCCTCAAACCCTGTGAGGTAGGTTAGGCAGACAGTGACTGGCCCAAGGGCATCCAGTGAGCTGCATGGCGAAGTGAGGATTTGAATCCTGGTCTTCCAAGTCCTTGTCCATAGGAGCCAACTCATTATGGGCCGAGATCCCTTCGGTCCCCCCAATAAAATATTTGAGGCTACCCCCCCCACAAAGTTCATGGGCAATGCCATTCAAATGGTGTGCATGCTCCACATCTTATGATCGATTACACAGGGAGGGGCTTACCTGGCTCCCAGATTCAAGTTGGCATCCCTGTCCTAGTCCAACAATTAGACCATGAGACTTATATGGATTATGCCAAATTTGTACCGATGAACTATAAATGTATTTCACTCACAAATTATTTTTCACTTGTGAACCCCTCTACTGATTATTGGAATTGAAACTGAGAAAGCAACTTTTAAAAAGCTCTGCTTGACTGCAAATTTTGTGACTTTTGAACAAAATAAACACTTACTTTAAAATCAAGTTATGATTGCCATGTGCTTGTGTGCTGGCCTCTTCTTATTCTCCTCCAGAAATATATAGTCACACAAATTCTTTAGTTCTATTTCCTGCAAAATAATCCATGTTTCTCCAAGTGCAAAATTGTTTAAACCTGTTTCTGATCTCTCTCATGCTTATTCTCCCAAACAGCCTATGAAGAAGTAAATCAATTCCCATGAAACTGCATGAGAACTCATGGCTGAATTTTGGACAGGGAGATAGCTAGGCTAGAACCTTTCCCCAGTTTTCCATGTACAGATTTGTACATCGAAAAGATTTGCAGGAGTGCTCAGGGAACTCCTTTATTAGTGGGAGATAACATGTTTGCTCTCACCCGTCTAAAGTACAGGCCAGAGACAGATTTATCGCCTCAAATGCTTCTTGTGAGAAGTGCCTCAATGATCGTAGAGAACAGCTGCTCTTATTCTTTAAAAAAGGAAGCTTATTTTATCATCAGCACATAACAAGTGTAGCTTAAGAGAAAGTGAGGTGATAATTTCATATCATCCAATCATGCCTGTGTAAACAAAACATTTGTGCTTTAAATTATATATTAAACACACACAAACACAAGAATCCAAATAATTTTTTATTTCCCTTCCCAGAGACAAAACACAACATTTAAAACAATATTACAAAAGAACAAATATAAGCCTATAATAAATATTTTATTAAAATGACAAAAGCCACTACGGAGATGAAGACAATAGAAGCAGTTTTCGGAAATGCAACTGATGACATTAAGGCTACATGGTTAAGCGGAAGATTAATACACAGGAGCTTAAAGTTTAAATGTATTTGCTGACATTTTTGGCTAACTATCACTGGCATTAGTACAAATGGAGTTTCAGAATTTAAATGTCTCCAAATATCATTGGTTCTTTTATTAAAATACATAAGCGACATACAATGCAGTATATTTTAGCAAAATACATGCCTGTGCATTCACATCCTAAGTTAAATATAAAATGTATACTGTATTCCCATTAAAGTTAATTACTTTTAAAATACTCAGGGAGTGCTTGAAAATGTAAACTCTTTTTCTAAATGTAGCAAAATATGGCTATATTTAAAAATATTCAGGCAGTGCTTGAAAATATATAAATTATTTTTCTAAATGTAGCAAAATATAGCTATATAAATATTCTGAAGTGTAGAGAGGAATTATATGAAGAAAAATTAACAGCAACCAAGCGTGATCTCTAGATAAAAATGACAAATATTTTCAGAAATCTAAAGAATTGCAAGTGAGTGGAACTAAATAACATTTAACACTGGAAAATAAAACAAAGCTTAATATATACACTCACATATTTACTAATTCCTAGAAACTATAAATTAATAGTCCAGAATTTTGGAGCAACATGCTAACAGGGCTAGGACATTTCTGTTTTCACAATTCATTTAATACATTGTAGTAATTTAAAATCTATGCATTACTTTAAACACCTAAATCATAGTATACTTTCAAGGTTTTATACATTTTCCTTCTAATCTCTGGGTGTGTATGTTAGTCAATTAGGTTTTATATACACGGGTTTTAAAAAAAGACGAAAATTCACACTTGGAAATTTGCCTAAAAGTGCAACATCACCTACCCTAACCCAACTCTTATTATCAGTGACAGGATATGTATCAAAATTATCTCAAATAATTTATTTGAGATAATTAGTGTCAACATGAGCAGAAGTTATCTTGCATCCAGTAAAAAGTTTTTTTTCTTTTTTCTATATGTAACAATATTTGAGGCTTGCATTAAGTTTTGGTTGGCCTGTGAAACACAGCACCAGATAACCAAATTCTATAAACTGAGATTCACAGCCTCTGCATTTAGTTTGCCACCACTTAAGCTATGTATCATTGCTATCATATGAGAATGTTTGTTTAGCTCTTCCTGCTGGACTTTGACCAAAGCTTCCTTTTCTTCCAGTCGTCCTTCCAGCTGTGACTTCTGAACTTCCAAGGAAGATGCCTAAAGTCATATAGTAAGATACTATTCAATCATATTTCTCCAAAATACATATTTGCCATCTAGTAAATTGGGTGAATCCATACATCACAACAAAGAACAGTTAAGGAAACTTTCTTGGTTTGGTATCTAAATGGACAATCCATGGGTTATGACTGGACAGAAAAGTGGAATCAAACCAAGCTTTGAGATGGGGTTTTGGCAGCCATAGTTCATGCTGATTATATTACCAACTGCCCTAGAGACTGTTGCACAATGGAAGTAGGAAATAATTTATGAATCATAATGCAAAGAGAACAGTGTGATGCTTCAGAAACAGTCTGGTAGCAGCTGGTGGTTGCAAGTCCAGGGCAAAGAATAAATTGCTGGTCAGAAAAATCACCATACTCAGCTGATTCCACACATGAGATGAGGGAAAAGCTGGAGGACACGAGACATGCCTCATGTGACCAGAACTAGTGACAACACTGTCAGAAGATGCTGACAAGAAGGTGTGCATATCTATCTGTCAGTGGATCACAAAGAGAGATCACAAAAGGGGATACACAAGGGTGTACAATGCCATGAACAGGAAAGGGAGAGTTCAGAAAGCAGAGGATGCAGTGGACTTGGTAAAAGAGGGACAGAATGTACATAGCAGGGAACACAATTTACGAGACAGAAGGTTTTGGCGATTCACTGGCCAGCAAGTTGAGGAAGATTTACTAGAATATGTTCAACTATAGGCTGTATTACTGTCCCTCCCCACTATGAGAATAGTAAGGCCTTATTATCTTTACACTATGGGTTCAGAATTGGAAACACCATTGCTCCACACAGAAGATTCAATGATAAAATGCATTTCCCATCAGCCTCAACCAGCATAGCTAATGGTCAGGGATAATGGGAATGGGAATCCAAACTTCTGAACCACCAGTTTCCCAACACCTCAATCCTTCCCATCCGACATATGCAGAAGCTCGTCTTATTGAGTTCAATGAAGTTTACTCCCAGGTAAGCAAAAACAGCATTGCAGCCACCACCTACTCCACTTAGACAGAAATATTTATTTGCAACTGCAGTGACTAATTCCTTGATACCATTAGAATTTTTCTAAAATGACGAACTCCAGCAGAAAGCTTACCTTAATGCTCAATTCTTTTCTTGCCTGTTCCGTTTTACTCAATTCCTTTCTAAGGATGTCTATAGTCTCCTCCATATCTGATTTTTCCTTCTGCCTGGCTTTAAGTTTTTCTTCCTGAATCTTTACCTTCTGTTGCAAACCTTTGGAAGAATTTGTGAAAGAAAGAAGTTTGGGTTTTTCTTTTTGCCAATTTACAAAGCTTCTCTAAAGCGACCACTGAAAGAGTTACACCACAGTGCCATCTACTGAGCAAATGCTAATAGTTTGTGCTCCAGAGTTAAGTGATTGCCTGCCTAAGCAGATATACATCTTTCAGTTGAGACAATTGAGTTCAAAGGGATTAACACAGAGCTTTCCCCCATTAAAGTATATTTACCTTTTTTAAAAAAAATAAATATAATGTGTCACCTGTGCTTTTTTAAACAAACATAATTTACTCTGAACACACAATGGAAGCTGCTTGCATCTAACAGGTTACTGTAGCTACAACATGACCACCTTATGACCAGTAAACAACCACCACAATGGTTACTGCTGTTTCGTAGACTGCGAGCAGGGACATAATGTTCTCAGGCCAAAAGAAGAAAGTAGTTGTGACATCTGTACAAACCTGTGCTTGTGACTGTGCACCAATAAGGTGAATGTGATGATTAATGGGAGTTTCCCAAAGTAGCAGCAGAAAATACCCATGAGCCATTAGAGGCATGCTACACTTGCATATTTGGTGGTTTATTTTGAGAGTTTGAATCTGGGTCTAAATGAGAGAACATGCTGTTCTCCAAACATCAGCAAATCCCAGAGCGAGCAAAGGAAATTGGGTAAAGTAATAGTATCATAGTGCTACGGAGCTGTAATTGCAAACTCCAAAGCAAAAATGATAGGATCACCCAATCTATTGAAATAAGAGGTAGGTCTGTGTATTTAAAGATGGTTCAAATGTAGCATAGCTGGAGAAAAACATGTTCCAGGTTTTCTCTATAAAGCCAGACTCCTGATGAAGCTAATATAGAAGTCAGAACTAACTTACTTGATATTTTCCCATCTTTCTCTTGCAAATGTTTGTGCAATTCTTTTCTATGCTCTTCTGTTTCTAGCAACTGACTGACAGTTCTGAAAAATTGAAGGATACAAACATTAAAGATCTTCCAATGGAAGAAACATGAGAAAATCGCTCCCCTTATCATTAGTGTCATATTACAGCAACATTTGCCTATCATTCAGTGTGATTAGCTAAGAAAGTCAAATGAATTTTTCAACTTTATTTCTTCCTGCATTTCATTATTTCCGTATCTATTGTAAGCCAAATAGTATTCCTCCATATTGTCAATTGCAGAAAAGGGACATAAATAAAGTAAAGTACAAACAAAACAAAACACCCACCACAGACATTTGCAAACAACATACCGAGCATTAGAACTTCCTATGTGAAAACAGGGGAGATACTATTTTTAATTTAATTGTACTTACAAAATCCCTGTAGATTGATTTTTTAATATATAGGTTACTTAACATTCAAACGCTATGTATTTGAAACTCACACAAGATAACCACAGATCTTATCTCTCTATTTAACTGAAAACAAGAACAAGGCATTCTCCTACCCATCACCACCATGAACGTCAACTGGCATTTCCCACCCAATAATCATTTAAGAAAATGTTAAATGAGTCTAATTCTGAGATACCTATATGAACACATGGTTTCAATTCTCATTTGTTTGGACAGGAGCCAGGAAATATATATAATTTATCAGATAGAGAGATGAAACAATGTGAATTTGCTGCCTTAGAATGGAGAGGTGAAGGTATACCTGATTTTCACCCTGCATCCTCTTTACGAAACTCTTACACATAATTCCCAAAGTGGGTTACGTTCCGGGGTTTACGTTCGAGTGACCCATGTGCATAAGTGAAAATCACATAAGTAAGGAAGTACCCTCTAAATGCCCTCTCAGCCGCTTTCTCTCCAAAATACTACTCTCCCAAAATAAAAAAATACAGTGGTACCTCGGGTTACAGACGCTTCAGGTTACAGACTCCGCTAACCCAGAAATAGTACTTCGGGTTAAGAACTTTGCTTCAGGATGAGAACAGAAATTGTGCAGCGGCAGCGGGAGGCCCCATTAGCTAAAGTGGTGTTTCAGGTTAAGGACAGTTTCAGGTTAAGAACGGACCTCCAGAACGAATTAAGTTCTTAACCCGAGGTACCACTGTACTGTACCAAAAATATCCACAACTGGAATCAAAGCTCTGGGACTGGCTGGAAGACATGTGAGAAAGCTGCTGCTGCATGCAACACCTATGCCTCCAGTTTCTTCTCGATGCTCACAGAAGGGTCTCCTTGAAAGCCACAAGGACTTTCCAACTGTCTCCAGCCATTTCTGGGCTTGAATTTAATTCTTTTAACTTTTTCCCAGTGCCACGTGTACACACGGTAGCAAACAAGTGGGGGGATGCCTGCAATGAACTATTCTGATTTCCAGCATAATTGTATCTCTAATGCTGAAGTAGACCCAAACCATCATCAACAGTTTTGTTTGTATGCTAGCTTTCCATGGTGAACCATGCTCAACCATCTCCCTTCTCCCTCCCCCTCCCCCATACTCCATTCCGTGCTGTTCAGGAGAGGCCCCCAGAAAGACTTCAGAAGGGGGTGACAAGGAGCAGACAGGAATGTCCCAGTTTGCAAGTTTCCTTCGGTTCGCAGTACTCAGGAGCCAAATCATTTTATTTTATGTAGTTCTAAAGGCAACTAACTGGACTATCTTGCATTGTTGAGTTTGTTGGAAGAGCTATATTAATTTTTACTATTCATATATAAATATAGTCAGAAGGAAAATGAAACATTCTTGCCCTTCCACAGTTTTGAAAGCTTTTGTGAATGTGGGAAATGGGTGAAGTGAGAAGTTCAACATCTTGGTCAGAAGTGTCAAACAACTTCAAGTTGTGCATTTGACACAGATTCAAAATGATCTGCAACGAATTACACTAGAGATTAAGCTTAATTAAATAAAAAAAACCCCAAACCCACAAAAGCCATAAACAATAGTTTCACTTTTACTACACAACTATATGAACCTGCTTGATTATCATCTTCATGATTGTTCTATGCATGGAAAGGCAGCATACAAACCCTTTGAAAAACTGCAAACAAATCATAATACACTTCAGAATATTTCCAAGTATGTTAAAAAAAAACCCCACTTAAAGCAGTTTTGATTAAAAATGAAGGTTTTCATTGAAACATAGCATCCTTTTAACTTAAGGTAAGGACTGAACTTACTTGTCATTCTGTTGCTTGAGAGATTCGTTCTGCCTTTTAATGGTCTCAAGTTGTTTGGTCAGAGAATTACACATTAGCTGCAGGTCGTTATATTGTTTTTCAATGGTTTCATGCCTAAAAAGAGAAAAATATTATTATTAAACATAATTAATTTGAAGCGTTTTTCTTAAACGTGTCAAAGTTCCTACTCTCAAAATTACTGGACTTGCTCACAGGTGTGTTGACAGGTGTGATGTGCAACTTTCAGTACAAGCCTTAAAAGAGGGCTTATACTGAATCATGATCACAGAGTTCAAACATTTGAAATCTGTGATCAGGACTTCTTTTTGCGGTTATACTAAAATGCAGTTCATGGCCTAGGGAACTACTGCTAATTTTCCATGCAGATATAGCAATAAGAAACCTTGCACAGTAGGAAAAAGTCATAGAATTGTAGAATTGGAAGGGTCATCTAGTTCAACCCTCTGCAATGCAAGTATAAGAATAATTTTTTATTTATACCTTGCCCTTCCCGGTTCAGAAAACTGGGCTCAGGGAGGCTAACAACAAATTTAAAACACTTAATTGTAACGCACAGCTAAAGAACCCCTAACAGATGGCCATCCAACCAACCTCTGATTAAAAGCCTCCAGTGAAGGAAGCCTCCATGTTCAGTCAGAATCTAATTTCTGGCAATTTGAAAGCATTGGTTCAGATCCCGCCCTCTGGAGCAGCAGAAAGCAAACTTGCTCTATCTTCCATGTGACAGCCCTTCAGATATTTGAAGATGGCTATCATATCACCTCTCAGTTTCTCTTCTCCAGGCTAAACATGCCCAACTCCCTTAACTGTCCCTCTTAAGGCTTGGTTTCCAGACTCTTGATCATTGTGGGCACCCTCTTTTGCACAGGTTTCAGCTTGCCAATGTCCCTTTTAAAGTATGGTGCCCAGAAGTGGACACAGTACTCCAGATAGGGTCTGACCAAAGCAGAATAGAGTAGTGCTATTATTCCTTTGATCTGGACACTCTACTTCTGTTGATGCAGTCTAGAATTGTAATAGGCTTTTTGCTGCTGTATCACACTGTTGACATGTGTTAAGCCTGTGGTCTGCTAACCCCTAGATCCTTTATGTGCTGCTGTCAAGCCAGGTGTTCCCCCCTCCCCCATCCTTTACTTGTGCATCTGATTCTCATTGCTTACATATTCCTGCCTAACCTTACATTTGTCCCCAGTGAAATTAATTTCAAATTCATCACCAAGGACTAGCTTATTTTCTGCTTATTTTCTGCCCAAGTGTCAACACACAAACCTGCTTTTGACAAGTCCTGTTCAGGTGTTCAGCCTGACCAGCCAAGGACAAAAAATGTGTAGGAGTCAGATATATATATGTATGCCAGCCCCACCTTCAACATCTCCATGTGCACCTCATTTCACCCTCCACTCCAACCTTTGTGTGAAGGTCAGCAGTGGAGAAGCAGAGCTGGAATCCATGTCCCTAGCCCTCTACATATCTGAAGAGGGGTAAAGACTGCAGAACCTAATTTGAGATGCCAGTTCTATAGAGGTGGAAGCTGCAACAAGATGTTGCAACATAGTCTCACCTCCTATTAGAACTGCTCTTTTTCCTGTGCTCTGGGCAGCCTGGATATTTCATCCCACACCTCAAATTTTCCATTTCCATTTTCAAACTGACACTTTGCATTCAGACACTGCTGGGAAAACTTAGCCTTCCTGGGCTGTTTGGTGTGGAGAAGAATTTGCACCTTTCTAGTATCCCCCCCCCCCCAATGCTTCTATGCTGATACCTCTCTCTTGTTTCTCGGTGGCTCCATTTCATCATAGTTCCCTATGAGACAGTTGCAAGAAAGCAAGGACAGGAATTGCCAAAATAATTCCTAGCCGAGATCAACCGTTGCCACCTAATTCTGCAAGCTGCCCTGAATATATAGATCAATTTGAATAATCTAATCTTATGAGATAAACTTCTATCCATACGTGTGAAGTCTTACATCAAAAATCACGTTTAGGTCTTAGAACTAAGGCCTAAATTCTCAAAACATGGCTCATAGGAATTACCTGCAGTTTCTAGAATAAGGAGTGGTTATAAACACCAAGCTCCTTACTTAAAGGGAAAGTGTTTCCCCCCGCCAAGACTGACTGTGCACCAGACTTGATCCCATGTTGTGCGATCTGAAACCCATGCCCTGAATTCCTACTGTTGGATACTGTGGTTTTGGTTTGGCATCTACCAGATGCCTACCTCCATCCCTGCAACAACCACTACAACTTTTGCAAGCCTCACACATATCAATTTTGGAAAATGTGCATATTTGTATAATGATCAAGTGCATAAGGTTGTGGGGTTGTTGTTGTTTTGCTTCAAAGACTCATTTCTTCACACATTTTTCATGGTAGCTTAAAATCTTACTTTTGAAGAAGGTCAATGGAAGATCTTTTCAGTATCTCATGTTCCTCTGCTATTGTCTGTAGCTTCCTATTGTGTTCAAAGAGTTGTTCAATATCACTCTGTGCCCGTTCAGATTCTACTTGCTGTGCTTTCAACAAGGACTCAAGTTCTTCATTTTTTCGTTCAGTTTCCTTCAACATCGAAGCAAGTGTTCTAGCCTTTTGGAAAGACAAGGAGAATGTATTTCACTAGTGGCTTATGTTTGCTGCTCCATTCCATAGCTCACTTAAAGAACACTATCTGGTCAATGAGAAGTCTACATTCCATCAATAACTTCCGAAGGGCATCAATCTATTCTTAAACTGGATAAATGTTAAAATTTTAAGGCTTTAGAAACATCAAGTATTGTGGACTGCAAAAGGATTGCAGTTATGCAAAAATTTAATATCAGTATTGATTCCACCCCCACCCCCCAAGTAAGTATAACCTAGTTTTCAAAAACAAGGCATACTCATGTACAACAAGCTTGCAGTGGTAGCTATGAGCAGACAGCAAATTAATTCTTGCGCAAATGTTTGTTTTACATACCTCTGACTCAGCTTGAGCTCTCTGGCAACGGTACTGGGCAATAAGTCTATCAGCTTGAGCAAGTGCTAAAGCCTTTGCTTCCAAAAGGTCTTGCAATCTAGTTTCTTTGGACTAAAAGAAAAACCAGAAGCAAAAGTAAATTGAAATACAGGTATGGACAAAGCAATCAGATGAAAAATTGTGCATATTAAACATGTACTCACTGCTAATGCAGACAGTTTCTGCTCATACACATCCATTATGTCAGACACCCTTACATCAGTGGCTGATTCTTTCACCTGTGGAAAATGTTAATAGCATAAGCTATGGCAGAATCTTTCCTACTTGGACAAATGAAAAGCTCAACAAAAGCAACACAAAATGACTACTATATTGGCAGATAACATTGGTTATCATTCCTGTATTAACAAAACAGTAATATAAATTGTTAAAAGATTTATATAGAATCCATATATATTTGTGCTTTATGCTCTGGCTGCAAGAGAGAGGGCTAGACAGTATTGCAATAAGTCGTGCAGGGGATTCAGAGGTCTAACAGAAGTTAAGCTAGGTATAAGCTAACAGACTTTTTTATAAATTCTGACTGCCTTTCTTCAAATCATTGATCACTTATTTTATGTAATTATTGTATACCGTATGCTATAATTTTCAGTGTGGCAAATTGTGGTGGTTGGGATTGTTAGGGCCTTTAGTTACTACAATAAACTTTTGATTGAACAGAATATAAATATACTGACATTTCATTCATCTAATTCTCCATGATCTTAAGCAATTTACACTTCAAACAAAATTATGGTAGAATTCAGAGTCACACTATGATGAACATTTGCTTTGTGCAAGCAATTTAGCTTGCCTAATGGGAAAAAATTCCCTCTCCTCCCTCTCTGCATTGTTCCAGGTGTTCTCCTAATGCCCCACCACCAAGGCCAATTTGGGGGAGCCCTGTTGCAAAAGTCAAAGTCTTTGTGCAGGGCTTCTGCTGCTGGGACTCATTAGGTGAATACCGACCACAGAATTTAATTTTCAGTTTGTGACATACTGATGGCTGCTACAGAAAGCACATTCTTTTCAAGTTACTCTATCTAGAACGCTTCTGTTCAGAAGTGTCCTGTTACACGTTATGTACTTAATCTACTTGCCAATAGGCTTTCTTGAGTTCAGTGGAGCTTGGCCTAATCCCTGGTCATTGTGGGTTCAGATCCCATATGGAACCTACTGCTTTGTAACAGTTTGGGCTTGTACTGTCTCTATCATGCCTTTGTGCAAAGCTTTCTATAGAAACTAGTCAGACTTCAGAAGCCTGAAAAATCCGATTGGAGCAGACTGCTTTGCATTTTACATATGCCAGGACAAAGCTGCTTTTATTCAAAAGCTGTATCTTAAAGCCATTAACCTCCAGGCTAGACTGGAGTTTCTGTATCAGGTCCTGAATGTTGAAAGTTGCAACATCGTCATTTGGAGCACAAGCAGCAGAACATTTCATTGGGTTAACACAGGTAATGGATGCTTGCATGTGGTTCCTTTTAGATGCGTGCTCTGCTTCCTGTTGTCTGTAAGAGTTATTGGCCGCAATACTTTCACCAAGCCTATATGAAAAACACATATAAGATTAAATCAGCAGGAAGGAATTGCAAATAAAATATAAACAGCTTTTTAATGAAGCAGGATCAAGAACTGACAACAAAAGCCCAGAGTAAACTTTTAACACAAGACAATTTTTAAAAATATGAAGAATAAGAAACTCACTCTATGGCAGGAAAATCTGGCAATGGTGCTGCTTCAAACAGAATTCTAAGTCCTGCCTGCACTTGCTCTCTGTGGTCTGATGTTAAAGCAAAAGCCAAAGGTGTAACCAAACGTTGGTCCTAGACACAAACCACTTGTGAGTGCGGATAAGCAATTATTTTTAGCAGCTAGACAAATATATTACACAAGAAGGAAAAACAAGTGATAAACACGTTCACTTTATCTGTTGCATTCTTAATGAAGCATTCTTTCATGCAACCTTTAATGCCTCCTCTGGGATATTTTGAGTTGAAGCAGAAGATGTGGAAAGTAATCAGATCTGCTAAATTCTATTGGAAGATCTCAAATGCTGCCACTGTACAACTATACTCTGCAACCAGGCCTTTGGATGATTAACACCCTAGACCCTTTAAAATGTTTCTGTGGGAGGGGGTTATTGGTTTGTGGGATTTTTTTGTCCTTGGTTTTATTATATACCTTGTGTTTATATCTTGTATTTTTATGTTGTAAACTGCCCTGAAATCTATGAAAGAAAGAAAGAAAGAAAGAAAGAAAGAAAGAAAGAAAGAAAAAATAAAAACATACCCCATGCTATAGGCAATACTCTTCTAAAAATGAAACTGCACTAAAATTAAATTGGAACAATTATGTTGAATCAAGGGAAGTGTGAGCAAAACTCCACTTATACAGTGGGGCTTTCCTGGCCACTCCCCTTTTGCACCCACAAAAGCTTCTAAAGGTTAAGTGATCCTTTAGAACAGGACAGATGAAAGCAAGGAATTGGGAGAGTTTAGAGGTAGAGGCCATTTCTATGCATACAAGGCACCTTTGGATTCAAAACACTGCCATGTACTTCTTAAAAAGGTATGATTAAATTGCAGTCTGGCTATGATGGAAAAGGTAAGTATTTGAAGAATGGCAGTTAGTATGTTGTCTGAGGATGCTGTTAGTCACTACAACAGAATGAGCATAATCATGTACACTGTCTATCTTAACAGGCATTTAAATGATCAACAAACCTTACCTGAAGAACTTTGTAAAAGTTGACTTCCATGTTAGAAACCAGCTGCTTAAGCTTGCTCATAAGATCCAGTGTTTTTAGGATTACATCAGCAGCAAGCTTGCTGAAAAAAAGGTGATAATTAAAAGAAAAGTTATTGTACACCATAAATTCCAGCAATGACTAGCATGTCACATCTACACACTGCAGCCACCTACCCCAAACCTAACATCTGATATGGGGCAGATAAGGACATCTTCAAAGGAACAATTAGAAGCTTTAAGAGCTTCAGATTATTCCTTTGCAAGTGGGGCTCACTGATCAACACTGACAGTGAGCCCCACTGTGATTGGCTACACTGCAGAGTTCTGCCCACCTGACAAATCAAAAAATGATTAGAATTATTAAAACCACCTATGAAGCAAGCCAACTTAGCCATATGGTAGAATTGATGTCATCCAGTAAAAGGATCCAATCGTTTTCCATTATGTTGGAGAGGACGCCAAATTACAGATACATACTAACATATGTGGTGGGAATGTTCACAAATAGAACAATTTTAGAAGGAAGTTTCAAAAGAGATATCTCAGATTACAGCTCAGACAATACCAATAAAGCTTTACTTAATTTATATACAGTGGTACCTCTGGTTACGTACTTAATTCGTTCCAGAGGTCCGTTCTTAACCTGAAACTGAAGCACCACTTTAGCTAATGGGGCCTCCTGCTGCTGCTGTGCCGCCGCTGCACAATTTCTGTTCTTATCCTGAAGCAAAGTTTTTAACCAGAGGTAATATTTCTGGGTTAGCGGAGTCTGTAACTTGAAGCATATGTAACCCGGGGTACCACTGTACTTCAGATACGGACCAAGTAAGAAGCAAGGAATTAAGAACACATTTATTAACAGCAGCTAGAAGAGTTATAGCCAGAACTTGGGAATCCTTGCAATTAATGACTATTGATCACTGGTATAATATAGTCTGGCAAACAGCCATAATGGGCAAGCTGTTGCAAAAATTCATGGTTCCAAAAGAAGAGAAAAAAACAAGATTATTTCTATACTGTATTGTGTGATCTTATTAAATACATTAAGCCCACAAGTTACTCACATTTAACTCGGGCACATTCAGCTTTATGTGCTTGGCAAAAAATTAAAAGGGGGTGGGCATCCAGGAAAAAGGCTCTGGTAATCCCACCTGCCACTGAACCCAATGTGTTTTGACTATATGAGATTTTGGCTTTAGGCATGATTGCTGGAAGTTAATCCCTGCATAAACTGTGGGCTTATTGTATACAAATGAAACAGCACACAGACAAGAAATACTCACAACGTATTTTGCAATATGGCATAGATAAGCATGAAGTTCTCATTAGCTCAGTCCTATTACTCTGTGTTCTCCAAGTTCATTTCACTGGTTTACTATTATCACCTCGTTATTATGTACTATAAAATAATGTTTCGTATCTCCTCCACCCCGCCGTGACCCATTTTTTCTTAGTCATGTCATGCTTTATGATTTGTGTGTGTACAATTTTGTAACAATAAAATATATATATTTTAATAAAACTACTTTTGTTTGTTTTTTAAAACTGAAATGCAAAAAAACAACAACAAAAGAAGTAACAGATTTTCCTTTGTGAAGAAACTTTGAACCAGCTATTTATATCTTACACTGCTCTTTGCTCTGACACTGGGTCTTTCATTTACATAGCTTTTGCCCTTGGAGGTTAAATCAAACATTGCATATGTAATAGTCAATCTGCCTTGCATACCGAGATGTCTTGGAGTTCTTTTCTTAATTGAAAGAGGCCTGCTGTGACACAGTATTACTGTGATGATGCTTACAACATTCCCCACCCCACCCTATTTGCCTGTTTAAAATTATGTATAAATGGAAAACTTGAACACAACACCTTTATTCCTTTCAAATGCATATCCATATAGATAGAAACTTCAGAATATTGTAATTAAAATGAAGGCCCTCAATTTCAAGGATATCTTACCAGCTGCTAGGGCTCAACAACAACAATCAGTGTTAAGCCACTGGCCATGCTCACGTCCCCCTCTCATGCAGCCAGGCCTTCTGCAGTGTTTACTTTTACTTTCATTGGATCCTGGCTTGTTGTATTTTACTAAATTAGTGGTTTTTAAAAGTCAGCTGGCCACATGACCCAGAAGCTGTATGCCAGCTCCCTCGGCCAATAAAGCGAGATGAGCACTGCAACCCCAGAGTCGGTCACGACTGGACCTAATGGTCAGGGGTCCCTTTACCTTTACCTAAAAGTCAGCTACATAACCCAGGGTTTGAAACTGGTTTCTTTTGAAATTGATTAGTTTGTTTTAAAACATGGTCTGCTGTCTGTAGGACATGAGCAGTCAAGATTTGCAGTAAGTGAAGCTAAAAGTTGCAGAACTTGACCGCAGGAGGGGCAAAAGGGGAAGCGAAGTGCATGAACCTGAGGCTTTGCTCAAGCTTGTTGTAGCTTACACGTGGCTTGGTGTTGTAAATGAACAAAATCTATATGTTTGGGCTATTTTTCCCCTAAAGAAAGATAATGTAAGTGTATCCTTAAGAAGACTGAACCTAAAGGATTGGTCCAGGGGTTTTTAAACAAAAGGTGCTTACCTCAGTTCAGAGTCCATTACCTTTGTCCCAAAGCCAAAGTCAATCCCACTGCATGTAAAGTGGTATTCAATTAAAGATGTACATTTGTTGGCTGTTAGAGCCTTAGTAACATGCATTTTTAGCGTATCATCTGCACAAAGCGGTAGGTTCTGTTAAGGATAAATCTGACTCATGAAAGAAGATTTTTTTTTTTTAACAGAAGGAAATATTTAGCAGGAGAACATTTTTACTTTACTAGGAGTCTCCAAGTAGTGTTCGTAAGGGCTGATGCTATTCCTTAATTACTTTTCAGCAATTTAGAGACTGGATAACTCTATGTATTTAAAAATAAATAAATAAGCCAAAGAGAAATTTGCAGCTCTAGGCTAGTCTAATCGATCTTGATTTCTGTCTAAATGCCAGAAAAACTCTGATAATATAATCATTAATGAACACATGAAATTCAGGGCACTTTTTGGTCCATACTTTTCTGGATGTACACTTCCTATAATAAAAACCCAGTGCATGAAAGGAAAATGCGTAAACACAGAGAATACATATTCAAGAAGCGCAACTGTTTGATTTCCAACCATTCCCTTCACATATTTAGACACATGACTCTTCACACTTATGTTTGTCATGACAAATGCTAGTTTTTGCAGAAAATGAATCTGTTGTGTAAACTGTAAAGCAGTCTTTAACAAACACTGTTCAAACATGTATCACCTTTTAACCGTTACATTGTATTCCAGTTACAAAATATAATGCACAGACACCATATTTTATCCTGAACTATTTTAAGAGCAACCTTTTCTATAGTTTGCCTGTTTACCCAAAGTCTTGGGTTTAAAGTATTATTTAAATCAAATGCATTTCATCTATTTTACAGACTACTGAGTATAGTTTCATGGTAAGCTCATGATAAAAAAAAAAAAGAACGTGGATCAAGGATATTTCTCAAGACATCAACAGCCCTGATCATTCTTTCACACTTCTTCTTTGCCAACAGGTCTTCTAAGACATGATCCGGCAAATGAATATGGTCAAGAAGAACAGGAAGAAGAAGATCCACAAAGCGCTCAGCTGCAGCACTGCAGCCTGTATCAATAACATCCTGTAGAAGAATGACATGCTTGTTGGCACCCAGGTAACTGATAAATAATATATACGACCCCCTCCTCAAATCTGCTTTCTGAGTCCAAAACCACTCAGTCTTCATCTCAAGGTCCATGAAACATACCATTCCCATCATTAGTTTTTTTTCTCACAGAAGATAGATTCTGAAACATATTCCAGTCCAAACTGATGAAACTTAACTACAATATTTTGCAGTGGCAAGTGCACTACTGTTGGTCTTTATACTGTAAGCTTAAGAACTTGCAAAAACTATAGGTGGCAGACATTTTATTACAAGATGCATAAGCCTTGTTAAGCAGAGGCTTAAGATCAAGGGAAAAGAAAGGTTGAAGGATCCATGTACATCTTCTCCCTCTTCCTTTAAAAACAATTCTTCCACACTGTTCCTTTCCACCCTGTGGGGAGAAACATCAGACTTCACTTGCTTATTAAGGAAGTGATCTGGGTACTGGGCTGATGCAGGAGTCCTAACCTGGCTACTCATGAAAACACCCTGAGCCAAGATGAGGCAAATATACTTACAGAACACCAGGTGTAAAGACTGCCCCCTCAAACACTAGATAGAGGTAGTTTACCCCAAATTTCCATTAAAGTTGATTTGCAAAAACATGCACATGGCTAGCAATAACCTAATGGGAGTGGCCAAAATGCAACATGTATTTTTTTTAAAAAAGTTAAATATGAACCTTTTGGGATATTGTTTATAAAAATATAAGAACTATTTTTGCATTGGCTTCATTTGCTATTTTCATATACAGTTACCAGCAACAAAACTAGCTAAGGGCTTAACGATATTACCAAACGACAAGGCTAAAAGTGACGCAAGTTGTTTCTTGTTGGGATGTGTGTGGCACAGCTATGAGGCTGGAGCAAGTGCCTCATTTTCACATTGAATGGACTGGCTCGCTGAGAAGACATTTGAAGCCAATTGTAAAAGAAGTCGGTACCTCAAATATCTCCCTGAACAGCTCCAATGCAAGAGCTGAGCAGTTTTCAGATGCTTCCAGCGGTTGGTTTGACCAATGTACTAAGAGGACAGATGGCTCTGAAGGCTTAGATCGAGTTGCAAGTCTTGTGCTCCCACAGCTTGCCTTATTTGGCTCCAATATTGCCTGACGCAAGATGTGACGGAGTTCCGTTACCGAACAGAAGGAAAGTAGCAACTCCAACACCTAAGCAGAAATGACTATCTTTCAGATTACAGTAATGGAAAGTTTCAACACACAAATAAACTGCTTGTTTTACCCATGTTACAGCTGTAAAGGACGTGCCAAAAATCTGACCTCCTATATACAAGTCTGTATTATACCGGAAACACACCACTGATGCATTCAGCCTGCAAATGCCAAATGTTTACAGTTCTCTCACTTCTGCCCCCAGGGATACTTTAAAAGGAGATGTCAGGGCATGTAAAGTTTGTGGTTTTCCACAGACCTACGGTCAGTCAGCGCCTGTATCAGGGAGATCTTATACAAAAGCATGGTGGAAATAGTGTTCACAAAATATGAATGAACCGCACAGAGCATAAACCTCACAGCCACAGTTCAAACACACACATTTTCCTCACATGAGGATGTAACTTTCTACACAATCTGCAAACTGTTTTATTTGAATACACACACTCATTCATATAACGTTGTGGCTTACCTGGCTTGTAAGTAAAGTTTAATCTTACTGAAATAGTAAGCACAACATGATCCATACAAGCCGAGCTGCCCAAAATATGTAGGTATCAACATTAGTGTATTTCACCATATTTCAAGGCATTTACTTAAAGTTAAGGATGGATGTAAGAATGCTCAGTATCTGGATTCTGTTAAGGCGTATCACTACAAAGATATTTAGCTGTAAAGTACCTTTGCTGAAGAATCAGAATCCCTTCCATGAAGGAGACCCAATACCTGAGTGACGCAGGAGGTAAAATGTTCATATCTACATTGTCAAAAGAAAAAAAATGTTGAAATACAGTTTTCATTTTGGAAACATTACTCAACATTCAAAAGGAGGATTTCTTGAGTATTGCTCATAATTCATTTTTAGTTTAAATATTGTAGCTTAAACTATTGAAGAATGTCAATGAGTCACAGTAAGTGGTGCTAGGAAAGACTGGCTACAAGGGCTAATACACCAACTAAAAGAGTTAAAATAGCTCAAACACAGCATATCAATGCTATAAATCAATATTATCAAACAAGTGTTTTTGAGTCTGGGTGTCAATCCCAATGTCTAATTCACAGCACATAAAATAAAGTTCAAGTTCTTACATGTTGTTAAGGCAATTCTAATTAAGCAAGACATAAAACCTAATGCAAATATGACAGTTCTATGCACAGGTGTCATTTAAGCATTTTTATCTTGCTCTTCGGCCAAAGACTTACATAAGATCAATAAAAACAAGGTCTCCCTGCCTACAGGCTTACAAACAGAAAGATGTCATGCAAAAGGAAAAAGGGGTGGGGAATGGGGTGGGGGAAGCAAACAAATGCAGACACCACTTCTTAAAATTTCAATGCTCTGGTAAGGACCACTTGAATAGAAACACTATGGGAGAGGAGTCAATTGGAACTTCTCTCTCAGCAAAACATGCCTGTATGAATACTGAGGACCTATTTGCTTTCCATTTAGAAAGCCATACATGTTTCAAATATCTATTCTGAAAATTAGATTCTGCTGCTCTTGGAATACAGCTGGAGACCTGCTGTTGATTACAGCATTATAGGAACTGACTGCAAATAAGAAAAGGAGAATAATTTCATTTTCTGTTGATTCCAATATGGTGAAATTTCAGATCTAGCAGGTGATAACAATGTAGGCAAAGCTAAGCACATTCCACATGTGTTGAATGGGCACGAGTGATAGAAAATTATATTCTGGTGCAAGGGAATAAAGATATTTATTGACACATCTTCCTGGGAATAAAATGGATGCTAACACCAAAAATGTCAGGCAGCTGGATAATCTACAGCTCTTTCTCAGTGGCAGCAGGAGGGAGAAATGACATCTAAGGGTATGATTATTGAAAATGTCCACTCCGCAGGCCTGTTTCACAAACAGAAGGGAATACATCTTCTAAAATGGTGCTGAATGAAACAGTGGCCATCATCATCTTTTACTGTACTTTGAAATTTAGAAGCACCACAGGTAAAAGTGCTCAAGAGACAAGTCCAGCCTGCCTCTTGCCTTACACTGGGATGGCTATAATCCCAGTCTTCTCACCATAGTTATGCACAAAGGGCTACAGGGAAGACTGAAGTAGAAAACTCAGCTTCTGTCACCTTTAAAGCCACATGATTACAGAGCTTAGGACAGAAAAATGTGCAAAAATGGACACACAAAATAAGGAACAATAACAGAGAGCCCCCAAAAGAATATTTGTAGGTAGGTTTATTTTGAAGACATACTTGGTAAGATAAACTGCAATCTTGGGATTTTTCAGAAGATCCATGAGAAGATCAACAGAGTACTTTCTTGTTAGTGTTCCATCACCATTCACAAGAATGTTGAATATCAACTGGAAAGTCTGATGAATATTTCTGGAATGGAAAAGCTAAACAAAGAGCTCTGATTTACAATAATGAACCATCACACACCCAGCTATATCAATGCAAACCTATAAACCTGAAATATGAGAGCAATAAATATGATTCAATTGGATGATAAAAGATATACATAGTTAGTACAACAGGCCTGCATTACTTGATTTGCACAGGTTGCTGGTGTAATTCCACATCCTGCCACAAATATTATTATGAAGTAAAAGCTATTTCTTTAAAAGAAGAAGAAAAGAACACATCCTTACCTTTTCTCCAACTTCTTCATTTAATGTAAGACTTGACAATATTGAAAGTGCGAATACAACCATTGTTAGACTACTGTGGGCCAAGAAACTGATCAGAGTACGATAGAAACTCTTCACATTTGTCTAGTACAAAGACAAGAAAAAACATTCCTAGAAAAAGTTGCATTTGAGTGTAACCTGTTGCTGCCTAAGTCAATATATTCTATTCCTTACCATTTCACTAGATTAATTAAAAGATTGCTTTCCCATGGAATGTACATGTCATTTCACCAATATCCACAGGAACTGATAATGCATTAATGTTTTATTTTAATGTTACTTTGGAACTATGTTTAGAAACCTTTAGAGTGTGAAGGACAGTAGAGATCCAGGATGGCCAACTCAAGAAAATAAAAGTTTACACTTCATCTCTGAAGTTATTTATATGCAAATTTCCACTGAAATCAATGAGATTCATACACATTTGTGAAAGATTGCAAAATGGTGGTGTTCACTGAGAAGTGAAGTGTATTTTTTGAGGATTTGGATTTCAGAAATATTAGCATAGCTAAAGGGGGGGAATGAGGAAATATGAAATCTACATAAAAGACCTTTACTTAAGAACTTGGCCAAAATTAGATCTAGTGTTTGTTAAAATAATCAAAAGCAAGAGGAGTCATATTCAAGTGCTGTGGAAAGTCCTCATTCTCGACTTCTTTTCTGCATTACGTTAGTGTAATCATTTTCTCTAGGCTCATTAGCATGAGACTATAGTCCTGTAGTTTTGAAGGTACACAGGAAATGTCTTTACCACCTCTGCTAAATATGTAAATACAGAAGGAAATTTCCCCAGATTAACCAAGCCATTTCTTGAAATTCTAATTTCTTCCATGTTCTTTGGAGATAATGGTTGTGCTCATCTGCTATATAAGATCAAGAGAAATAATCAACTCCCACTTGCTCACTTAAAGTGCTAATGTTTCACACGCTCAAATGATTAGACTCCCCTTTCTTCAAAAAGATTTCAATAAAGAAAGTTTCTTACCAATGACTTAATATGTGCTTGAATGGATAGATTGTGTCGACACAGATTTGCCATAAGTCCTAGGCATGGTATTGTTAACTCGTCTTCTGTAGACTGACTAAAATAAAAGCCCATAATAAAGCAATCTGCTTTGTTAACATGTTTATTAGAATTCCATACTTTGTTTCTTATAAAACTGATTCCTTCAAGTTAATCATTATCCCCTCAGAGCAACTTTCACTTTGTTATCCAAATCAGCAGAATGATCCCACATGCAGAACACAAGTAAATCACTGCATTGGAATTGCTGTATGCTTATGCTGCTCACTTTATAATTATGCACAGAGTGCAATCCTACAAAAGTAAGCTCCACTGAGTTTAACAGGACATACTACAAGGTTAGTGTATACAGGATTGCAGCATAAGCCGTTCAAAACACTTATCAGTTTGCCCACCCACATACAGCTGCTGGTGTCATAATGAATTTAGTGGTAGGACTTAACACTTCTTGCAGAAGAGAAGCCACTAAAGAGAATGAAAACCCAAGTGTAATTAGCTTTATTAATTTTACTGAAAACAAAAGTTATATGTCTTCTTCCCCTGCCCAAATACATATGCTACTCTTATTTTAGTGCATTTTAGAGACTGACCTGAAGGTGGCCAATTAAACTCTCCTCTGAAACTAAACAGGAGTGGTATGGCAAATATCTGCATAGGACTCTCCTTCCTTGGAGGTTTTTGAGCAGAGGTTGGGTGGCCATCTGTCATGGATGCTTTAGCTGAGATTCCTGCATTGCAGGGGGTTGGACTAGATGATCCTTGAGTCCCTTCCAACTCTAAGATTCTATGATTTTATGATTCTATGAAACCGCCTGGGAAGTGGAGAGGAGGGCAGGGAGTTTCATCTCTCTTCACTTGCTTATTGCAAGTTCAGCTCTACCCACCAACACTACCTCTGTCCTATCTTCCCATCTCCTAACTCAGTTGGTAGAGCATGAGACTTTTAATTTCAGAGTTGTGGATGTGCGCCCCATGTTGGGCAAACGTTTCCTGCGTTACAGGGGGTTGGACTATATGACCCTCGTGGTCCCTTCCAACTCTACAATTTTCTGATTCTATGAATATACCTCTGCTGGAAAATCTTTGGTCGTCCTGTTCTATCATCCTCAGTCTAACAGTCTTCTGTTCCTTAAAATGCACCTGCCCTTTCTCTCTTGCTGTCCCAATGCCTTAACTACCTCCCTGAAAACAGCTCAGTAGTTTTTACTCCAAGATGAGCAAGTATACAACTGTAGCCTTACTGAGATAAAGATTTAATCTTATGAGGTACTTACATATGGTGTATAAGAAATGAAATTAAGTCATCAATATTAGTACTGCCATGGAATACTCTTGCATTGTAGGTCAATTTCTGCAGCAGTTGAATACTCTTGAGGGGGGGAAAAACAAATTATGATACAACTAAAAGATATAACTTCTTGAGGTTCTAGATATTAGGAAAGTATCTGTATTAGAGCCATTGCATTCCATTTTCAGATTAGGAACTAGACAATATACTATTTCAAAACTATTAAAATCATTTCTCCTTGTTGATTAATAGTCTTCTAAAAATTCAGTTTAGACAACTAATTAGTAGGTTAAGGCAGAGGTTTTCAAAGTTTTTGAGTCCACAGCTCCCTTGACCATCTACATTCTTTCTGTGGCACCCCTGTGGGACTCAGGAGCCCAGTTATGTCACCCCTTGCCTGCAGAGCTAGCAGCCTCTCACCCTTTTTTGAATACTCTCCCTTGTGAAGTGTTCCCTTAGCCTCCTCTCCTCTCTCCTTGGGAGTCCTCCAGGCAGCCGCTCCTGGTCTCTGAGCTGCCCGCTCCAACTCCAAAGAGAGGTACCTCCTCATGCCACCTACCAGGGGCCTGGCAAGAGGGTGCCCTCAGCCTAAGTGGATCAACAAAGACTGTCCAAAGGTGAATGTGAGGCCAGCACCTTACCTTGGGAGGCTGCAGTGGCAGCAGCAGGCGCTGCCAGCCCTGCATGCTGGAAAGGCTCCCCTTCAGCACTGGACACTCAGCTCCCAGGCAGGCCTTGCAACCAGCAATCACAAGAAAGGCCAGCACAGTGCCTGCCTGGCCTACCACTTGTCTGTCCAACTGCAAGGGCTGGTGGACTAGCTGGCAGGCCTCCCTCACTCACCCACCTGCTTGCTTATTCCAAGGCCACCTCAGCTCCTGCAACCAGCGCCCCATGACCAACCCCCAAGGCACCATTCGCCTGGAGAGTTTGTAGCCAGGGCTGCTGCAACATACAGCCGCACAAGCCTTTGGGAGGCAGAGTTGCAAGAGGACATCAGAGAAGGGAGGGAAGGAAAGAAGGACAGAGACCAATGTTGCCCGTGCCACCTCTGACTATCATTCAAGGCACCCCAGGGTGCCACGGCACACTGGTTGAAAACAACTGGGTTAAGGGGTCAATTGTATGCACAAGAAGCTGTCATGAAGCAAGCTTAAGCCTGGAAGAGGGGAAACATGCCTTTCAATGTTCTACACCAAGTTGCAAGATCACATGACCAAGCTGAATGGGCTTAGGATCCAGTCTGTCCCCACTCTATAGTCAGGCTCCTGCCACACCCCAGAACACATTTTTGGGACTTACACAGGCCTAGGTTCAGCCAGCTTAGGCTCACTTGGATGAGTAAGTTATGTGCTGGGGCTGGGGACTTAACATTAGCTGAGCTTCACCCTAAGGTGAAGCACCAAGGGGCATTAATCACTGAAGTGCAGATGTGAAACCAGTAGTTGGCGAGGGGAGGGGGTGGAATAAAACCAAAACAGTTTCTCTCACCGACTCTAGTCAATCAAGTTTTGGTTTTAGTGAAGATGGGACTAACCCATTATTTCACACCAAAAAGAACATGGTGCTGAAGCAGAAATAATTGTTCCATGGCTATAGGATACAAATCTATTTAAATCAAGTAAGGCAGGTGTGCCATTACTTTTCCACATTTTATTAGAAATCTCTACATTTGCATTTCAGCTATAGTCTGATGGCATGGACACCTAAGCAGGTTTGGATCTCATGTGCACTTGGATGGGAGGAACCATCACCCCACCCCCCGGGAACCATGTGCTTTGAGTTCCATGTAAGAAAGGCAAAACATAGCTAAAAATAATTTTAAAGCTTTACATTACTTACAAAAAACAATTCCCGCTATATGAAGTGTCAAGCATTACATTATGTTACCTGTAATAATACTGGATCAAGAGGTTTGATAGAACTTCGATGAATCACACCTGCCAGGACACTACACAAATTGTAAGTATTCAGAAGGGCTTCTCTGATCTCATTATCTAAAACTAAAATATAAACATACACACATAGTCACTAGAAGCAACGCGTCAAGAACAAAGGCAATTAGAAAATATTTCAGAAAATTTATAAAGCAATATTTCCATCCAACAGTCAATTATATTTTAATAAAGAGTCTTTGAACCTATTTTTTAATTTTCATGAAATGTGCTGGGATATAAAGTAACTTAATTAAGCAAATTAAGAAGAAATGCTAGCTGCTTCTAAAGATGTAGTCTTACACACTGGAAACAAGTAAATTTCCATCTTAAAACAAAAGGTCAGTTAACATATTCCCCCAAAGTCTGGCATATCTGCAATAAAATCTGCTAAAGTAATGTTGACATATCTCTAGCTTTACACTATATCTCTGCTTATTCAGAAGCATTCAAATCACCATTTATTTAAAAATATTTTAAAAATATTTTTTAACCATTCATCAAAAGTTTGTGTAAGTATACAAAAGTGTGAACAGAATTAATTCAATACAACTTATAAATACAAAGTAAAAATAAAAAATAAACAAAGCAAAGTAAAATAAAAGATAGAATACAGCACAATTCCAAAGGCCATCTAAAATTTAAAATGCTTGGTCAAATAGGAAGGTTTTCAACTAGTACCAAAGCTTGTAATTTCAGTGCCAGCCATGCCATCATAAAGATGCCACTCCAAAGTTGTGGCACCATTGAACAAAGAGCCTTCTCCTTGTAGAACCACAACATACATATACTAAAGAGAATACTTGGAGCAGAGCCTCTCCAGAAGGTAAGACATGGGGAGGCTGCTATGGAAGGAAGCACTCCAGAATGTGGGTTCCAATTCTTACAAGGTTTTAAGGTAAAGCATCAGCATCTTTAATTGAACTTGGAAGCAGATAGGTAATCAATATAGATCTTTCAAAATAGGTGCAATATGAACAGCTTTGGCTAAACCTGTCAAAATTCTAGCAGCTGAGTTATGCACTTCCATATACTCTTAAAAGGGCAGCCCCAACACATTACAGAACAACCAGGCTAACAGAGTGGCGATCAGCATGGCAAAGCTATCCTGTCACATGTGGTGAACCAGTCATAGGTAATAAAAGGCACTCCAGGTATCAAGTGACAATGATGGATCAAGGAGTACTCCCACCCTGTATACCAGGTCCCATCCAGAGCAAGTGGATACCAATTTCCTGGACTCCAAGTACTACCCACCCACGTCCATCTTGTTAAGATTGTGCTTCAGTTTACTGACCTCATCCAATGCATTACTAAGTCCAGACACTGATTTTGTATTCCTGCTTTTCTTACAATAACTAAGTTGTTGCATTCATGAGCTGCACAAAAGCAATAAATTTAATATTTTAAAAATGATTTTTTTAAAAAAAAACCCAGCCAAGAAATTTTGGTTATGACGATCAGAACACTCTAACATTACATTTTAGTGTGATGTCTGAGAAAGTTATATACAAAAGTATGCAAGAAATCAGAGCCAATCATAAGTTTTACACTACACTTTATCTTGACCTATAAAGTATTAAACAGCTCAGGATATGCAACTCAAATGTATTTAAGGCTTACCCAGTTGAGAGAGCAAGCCTACCACATTCAGGGTTAACTGGGGGCTTGTATTTGGATCTTCAATGAGTTCCACTAAGCAGCATAGACATTCACTTGGTAAAATCTGGTTCGATGCAAAAAATCTTGTCAGCTTCAATCCTGAGATGACCTGGAAAAATGTATTTAATATGGTAACTACTAACTGAAGCTAAAAAGTAACACTGAACCAAATACTCCTTAAGTATACTGGAGCTCTAGTGAATACACAGCAGTCTTCCACAAAGCTAAGTGAACTATGAACTCACTTTCAATAAAGTGAAAAGACATAGTACAGTATCCTTAACTTTCTCTCACAAAAATCAATAGAACTTAACAGGGCTTAATTTAGAGTGGAGCCATTCTTTCAAAGACCATTCTTTGAAATAAGTACATAATCAAATACATACACAACAACTTACTATATGTTATATCTTTACCATACTTCTAAAAAGAGTTCTACGAGTAGTATAAACACACCAGAGCTAGATAACATGTTAACAGCATCTTCCAAAAGTATGACAGTTGAAAAAAAGTGTCCTTGTGAATGCACCCTCAGAAGAACACTTCAACCTAGATGCTTACAAAATTGAGGCTCTCAAGAAGTGGCTAAAGGTAGTTTTTTCTCTGAATTCTATCAGATCTGCAAGAATTCTAACTTGAATACTGTATGCAGACAGAATTGGGGAGCTGGTGGAAATTCTACATAGATTTATTAACTACAATAAGAGTATTTTCAGACTTGTTCTATACATTTTAATTAATTAAAAAAACTAACCAAGTGGCTTCCAACTGAAAATAGGCAATATAGGCTCCAGTGCTACAAGAACTGCCAAATGCCTATGGATAAGCACTTTCTTCCATAGAACCCACTTTCCAGAGTGGGTCAAGGTTACAATTAAGCGAAATGTAGTTCAGATAAACAATGAATTTTGCTGTTCCCTATTTAAGATTTATCTCCTCCACCTTTCTGAACATCAAAAGGGGGTTGTAAAGAAATAAAAATAAACAAACCAGAAAGCCAAAGCAATCAGAACTAGCACCTAAACAAAATTTCCCAAATCAGTTGATTCTGAATGCCTTTTTTAAAACAAGTGTATACAGGCAACCATCTTAGACGTGTTTGACCATGCAATATATGCAATTTCATTTAAATGTGTGGTGCTTTGGAATGTAACTGCTGTGTAAATTGGGAGTTGCCTGTATAGATTTATTTCAGAACGATCCAAGGGAGCCTCAGTAGAGATTAAGTTCCATAAGTCTGGTGGTCCTCTCCCCTGTGACCACCTTCCATAACTCTGAAGCAGAAAGTACAGAGCAGAGTCTCCATAGTTAACCACAATGTGTGACCAGGTTCAGATTGTGAATCCCACAGATCAGGGCTTTTAACATTTAGGGGGAAATTACGTAAGCCATTCCAAGTCCATGGAATACAGCAAGCTATAAAATAAAGTGCAATAAATAAAAGAAAAAACCCATGATGAGATCCTGAGTTAAGGGGTTTCAGAATCATATGCTCCTTATGATGTGGCATTATAGCCCTCCTATGGTGCTAGACTCCAGCTAGATAAGTTTCAATCCACAGGTCAATCATCAGAGTGGAAATTCAGCTTTGCCTGGAGGGCCACTGGGACCCCATCCCTATTTAACAGCAGTGCCACACAGCACACATTGCAGTAACCACTACAAACACACACTGCAAATAAACATGCTGTACAATTCCTTGATTGCATATGCACTCATAAGAATCTTTATTTTATTGCTATGGCTAGTGGCTGTTGCAAATAAAGTGTAAGAACTTAACTATGCAAAATATATTTTTGAGGTTTGCATGAATAATCAAATAATATATCTTATTCTAAATTGCCCCCGCTAAAAACCTTGCAGTTTTTGCTGATGATTGCATATGTATGGCAGCTTCCTTTGTTGTGAGCAGGCCTGTTATACGCCTGCCAGCTAAGGAACCAGTAGAAATCAAACGGGGGTGTATTTCCCCTCCCCGCTTCCAATCTCCACCCCTACCTCTCACTTCTTTTTCAAATAATGTAGAAAACTGCACTTTGGGTCCCCACGATCTCCAAATAGGGCTTACTGCCAGGTTAAGTTTGCCCGGGCCGCTTTATTTGCAAGGCACTTTTTCGCTGCGCGCATCGGGATTTGTTTGTTGCTGTTGTTTTGCTTTCGAGAGAAAACTCCTAAAAACAGAAATCCCAAAGAAAAAGGGCCATTCCCAGCCGCTTCTGTGAACTCCCGGCCAGGCACCCGCGACCAGCCGAGCCGAGAGACGGAAAGCCGCACACCGTGCAGGTCCGCTCGGCTGCTCTCACCTCCAGACTCCGCTGCAGCAGCGCTGCGTTGGGCGGGGTCCGCGCAGCCCGGTACTGGGAGGCCGCGAGGAGCAGCGACTTCATACAAGCCTGCGCGTCCATAGCGCTGGCGGCCCAGCCGCCTCCGCGGACCTTCCCTCGCAGCGCCTCAAATCCCGCCGTCAGAAAATCGTATTTGGCGCCTTGGCCGCCATTTTGACGCGAGGAGGAGCCCCCGGCGCAGGCCGGAAGCCCCGGTGCATGCCGGGAGGTTGGAGAGGAGAACCGTTGAAGTCCTCTCGTCCCAGTCGAAAGGAGGACCGGGGGGGCGGGGGAGGAACGGGGGCGACGAAACAATAGCACGAGACACCCCCTCGTAGCCTAGAAATCGATGCTAGACGGAGTGGGCGGCCGGGGCAGAGTTATTTCCGTCCGCGGCGAAAGAGGTGGTTCTTTCGCGTCGTGTGGCGAAGTAGCAGCTCTGTGGGAACCAGGGCGAGCTCGAAGCAGCCCTTGCCCCGGTGCATGCTGGGAGGGAAGGGTCACAAGCGGCGCTATTTTTGTCCTGTGGCTGCTGGTGAGGTTATGCTTTTCTCCTGGCGTGGGAGCTCTCGTGGCGGACGCGCACGTGAAGCGTGGGCGCAGCTGTCCGGTGGGAGAGGAAAGAGAATAGCCGCGGAAGAAACGTGGCCGGACAAACATCAGAACAAGCAGCGGTGAACTGGCCCGTTTCCTGTTGTGGCGTGCGTGTGTTGTGCCAGTTTGGTTTGCGTGTTTGCATCAAGATAGGGGGCTGCTCTGTGGCTCTCGTGCAATAAGCGCAACAGTGCATTGTAATTCCCCATGCATATACAGTACGGGTTTATTTAACATCTCAAAGGAATGGCCAGGCTACCTAGAAAAGGCAATCAGGTAAGGCAGGAACGTCCAACAGGTAGATCGTGATCTATGGTAGATCACTGGCTCCCCCCAAAGAAGCTCAACATTTAACATATTATCCCTTTCCCCCAAAAAACAGGGCTTTCCTCCCGCCTGAAAAAATCTCAACAACTTTGACCTGAACCCGTAAAACATGGGGCTTTCCTCCTCCCTAAAAAAAGCTTAACTTTGACCTGAACCCCCGAAAAGGGGGTAGATCACTGCCAGTTTTTAACTCTGAGTAGATCGCAGTCTGTTCAGAGTTGGCCACCCCTTAGATAAGGCTTTATCAGGTATCCTGGCAGACAGGAGAGAAGCAACACACTCAAATTTCTGCTGGGGACCACCTCTTTCTGTGATGTATGTATGATGTTTTGGGGGGTGGTCTTGAGCTACAGGGTAGGCAATTTCAAAAGTCTATATAAGAGCTTGCACACCAATGTTCTAGGTTCCTCTCCTCCCTGCGTTGGGTGAGCGGGGAACCCTGTTGCAACAGTTTAATAAAGGTTATGCTTACTAGCTGCTGTGCTTCTCAATATTCTCTGGTTGGCCTCTGTTATTTTCTCCTACCAATAGAGAAACTACATAAGGACTCTATATGGGCTCTTGGATACCTAATAAGGGGAAAAGGAGCAGTTTTTTCTTACAACGGTGATTTACTACATACAACTGATGAGGTGGACTCTTGTCTAAGGTATAAACTTTGCTGCAGTTTTTTTTTCCCCTGCCGCTATTTGAAATACCATTTTCCACTATATAAGGATACTCATCCAGGCCTGTGCTCAGTGAAATGAATGGTGAAAAACAAGCATAAATAGAAACACTTAAATGTACCTCACAAACCAAAAACATCATGCAGAGATGTTCAGGATGGTGCAAGCTCTTTAATCTTCTCTGGAGATGCCGGGGTTATTCATTTTTTGGAAATCCTCTAACGTTACAACAAAACACTGCTTCTGAGTGAATGTGGATGAAATGTTCTGCTAGCAGCTGTACAACTTCCTGCTCACATTTGCCACCCATCTTATCTCTCCTGATCAGCTTTCATGTGTTGAGATTACTCTTGAAATTGTTGCACTGAACTTTGTTCTGATTTTGCCCTTTTTAATTCCAGCATGGAATTTTGTATTTGGTACGTTGATTGACAATACTGTTCTGCAAGGTAGGTTTCTTCTCTTATGGTTGCTTACTATCTTCATATAATCATAAAGAGGACATCTACAAGGGTCCTCTAGTGTTTGGTGAAGCCTAAGGTTAACCCTTTTGGCAGCCCCAAAGACACAGCTTCTGGCTCCTCTCCCTTGGCCAGTTAATCCACTTTCCATGTCTACTTGTTATTTCAGTTTCTGCATTCTTCTCTTCTTCCAGATACAATTTCCATGGTCTTTAAAATTGTGTAGATGCCCTACATCTGTGGGGTTACTTCCATGGCTACAGGAACTCTTAATTTTAATTGTGAAATTTTACTGTGCAGACGAAACTATGTATTGTTCTGACATGGTGGCTGTGTGACTTGGTGCTTACATAGCTACTTTAACTCTGTTCCAGCAAGAAGTATCACCTTGGATCAGGGATGGTTAACCTATGACTCTCCCAGTATTGTTGGATTCCAATTCTCATCAGTCCTAGCCAGCATGGCCAACAATCAGAGATAATTGGGGGGGTGGGGGGAGGAGAGTGCAGCAACATTTGAGCTCAATAGATGAACCAGCCTTGCCTGGGATAGTATGACTATAATAGGACTTATCTGGAGTAAATAAGTAGAGGCAGTCAAAATAGATATGAACTGCTATTTCCTGTGGGCACAGATAACTTTAAAGGGGTATTGATACGCTAAAACAACCAGCCACTATGAAAGTGCTAAATCCTGTGTAAGCTAGGTGCTAACATATTTTCCACCCACTTCTGACATTGTAACGTGTACAAAAGTGTTGAGTAAATTGAACAAGGAGTTTTGCAGTCAAAAACTGTGTGTTGGAAGTAAGCCTGATATACAGGTATGATAAGTACAATTATGACTTAAGAATTAAAATTCCAGTAAAATTAAGTTTAAAATATAATAATAATAATCAGAACAACACAACTTAAAAGAGAGCAGCATAAAAGTAGAGATAAAACAGGTCATATTAAAAATCCTGGGAAAATATAACGGTTTGCCTGGTATTAAAACAACATCAGAGTTGGTGACACTTGAGAGATGTATGTTCAGGCATTGTGCATTAGTGCAATGGGGCTTTATTTCTTGCCATCTTATGATACAGGTAAAGTGGTACAGGGGTCCTACAAGCTGAAAAAATAGGAGAAAAGCTGTTGTGTGCAAGTGAATCACAGCACCGTATAGTTGTAATGTATGAGCAAACAATGGATTTGGACATCTGGCAGCTTCAGATAGTGAGCGTCCTAATATGGTACCTTAAATTGGTGTATAGAGTAGTTTTATTTATGTTTTACCAACTTAAAACAATTATGAATTTAATATGACCACAGGTTGCATGTTAAAATCTTCATGTAATATTTACAATCTTGGCTACGTATAGACTGGCTACATATAAACTGCTTTCCTTTTCACTAGAATAGGGGTATTGGGAACTTAAAGCTATTCTGAAGGAGAGACAGAGCCTTACTATCTATAGAAGGGAAAAGTCCTATTTACAGTACTGGGGTTTTCTAAATGCACTGACCTCCATTAGGCCCAAACTAGTCAATTAAGTGATTAAATTAATGAGACTGCAAACTGCACTATGTTTATTCCAGGATGAAAATGCGCCTTTAAAGCACTAGCTTCTACAAACTTTTTTTCTTTACCACATATAAGTAAAGGGGGGGGCTGAAGGTGGGGGGGGGGCTTTCAAAAATAGTTCCCAGAGTGTGCTATGCTTTTAGATCAGGTTCTACAGTAGCTACCTGCAAACACTTGCACCCAAATGTACATGTGTATTGCTGTAAAACTGGTTATACTTCTGGGGAGTAGTTTTGGCATTTCCGGGGTATAGCTTGAAGTCCTTTGGGAACTAGAGTGGCCTCTGACCTGGCTAGAGACTACAGCGAGACATTTAAAAATAATTGAACTATGCACAGTGACAACTTTATAGTACTGTCTTTGAAAATTTAAAGATCCTTAACAATATAATTATAAAATTGCTGTGACTTACTTCGCCAGGATAACATGATACAGTTGAAGCAAATTATCGTTTAGTATTTGATATATTGTTATGGATATCAGCAGTAACTCTTGCAGAGCTCTATGGTGTATATCAAACTTAATCCCCAATTATTTCAGTAGTATTTAATTGCAAGTAAATATGTTTAGCATTACTCTGTTCAACATGCTGCTACTGATGCTAGTTGCAAATTGCCAAAATAAATAAGTGAAAATTTAAAAAATAAAAGCAACCAACACTTGTGTTCATGACTATTCACAAAGTTGAATGAAGAAAACAACTAAAGATTAAAAACTAAAAATTGTTACAGAATAAGCTTTTCTGGTCTACAGTCCACTTCATAATTGATGTAGCAAGTTTAAACTTGAGTCCATGTAGGGGAGGCATGGTCAAACTTGGCCCTACATGGTTGATTGGAGTTGTAGTCCCAAAACATCTGGAGGGCCAAGTTTGGCCATGCCTGATGTATGGGATGCTATTAAACTTGCTTCTCTTAAAATGGAAACACCTTAAGCACTGCAGCTTTTATAGTGGCATAAGCTTTTGCAGCCCAGTTTCCATTTCATCAGGTCTATGAAGTGGTCACTTAAGTGGGCAGGTATAGGTACCACGAATACAGGAAGGAAAAGGAAGAGTGTTGGGTTTTTTGCTGGAGCAAGAGCCAAGCAAGCAAGCAAGCAAGAGATAACCATGTGGGCAGTACTATCTAGAGCACAAATGAAAACAAAATCCAGTCAAATGGACTATCCAGTTAGCAAGAGTGTGACCCACTCAAGACTAGTGTCTGTGTTGAGAGATGAAGCAAGTCATGAGAAATGGTCCCTCAGCCAATCACTCAGGTAAGACTTCAAGATAATCCTCAGCATCTTCATTTTCTGGGGAGGAAAAAAAAGCAAGTCATTTGATTACTGAGTACTGTGACGCTTATTTATCCCAGTTGCAAGTTGCTCCCTTCTAATTCCTCTTTTCCTGAGAAGGGTCCATCGAGGCGAGGCTTTTGCTCACAAAGTTTCAGCATAATATGTGCTTCTGCGAGCACATAATAATTTTGCCCAATTTGGGCTCATTCCTTCCACAAAGCTGCAATGGGAAAGGTGGAAATAAAGCCCAGTTGCTCAAGCAGAATAACACTTGTAGTTTATTAGATCCAAACCAAGTCAGGAAATATTTCCATTTAGACCAAGGGTGGTTAACCTCTTGACCTTACAGATTTTACTGGACCATAGTTTACATATCCCCATTAGTTGCACTGGTGGGGGGGCTAATAGGAGTTAGAGTCTTAACAACATCTTATTTAGACTGTTCAACTGTTGCATCATTTTTTAATTCAATTTTGGTCCTTTGAATTGGAAGTAATGCAAATATCTACACTGGGCATTTGTGATCTAAACTTGGACCAAATGGGGAATTGTTCAAACATTCACAGCATTTACTCCCTCCACTTGGCAAATATATTAGTAAAAATATTCAATAAATTACAAGGCAGGCAAAGGTAGCATGAGATATCTTTCCCTGCCAGTGATAAAGCTTCGTTCCTAATTAAAGCAAAAGTATCACTCAAATTGTAAAATATTCTAATTCATTGCTTATGTAATGGGAATAGAGAAAAGTCATGATGGACAATGTTAATATGATGCACCCAGCACACTACAAAGAAGTTGACTCTTTCACTTAAAGAAGGGATTGAAACAATTCCAATTTCTTCCTCTTCCTTCAATCACCTGTTGCTCTAGTGATTCTACAACCGTCCTGGGTGAATGTTTACTCTGGTGAATGTACATATGGCTTCTGATTCCATTTTCAAAGTTCTGAAGGGTAGAGTCCAACACCTCCGGGTCAAACATTTTATTTATAGATTAACTATTTAAAACAGGCTTTCCATTTTGAAAATGTTATAGTTCCTGAACAAACATATACCTTTCTGGTTACTACAGTCATTAAAACATAGCGGCTCGAAAGTAGATAGAATCATTTGTACAACTGATACTGAATTCCTTGCTATTTATTGCTTCATTGTGGTGGGTTTTGGAAACAATTTCTAAAAATTATTTTATAGTAGGAAGATGGTAAATGAATGAAAGAAGCATGATCCAAAGCTCTTTTCGTGCAGCCTACGTGCATTTTAGTATTGGGCCATAAGCATTATGTATTCTATGAATCTTTACAAATTTAATATACAGCTGTGCTGCTATAATTTTAAAACAAAAATTAAAACCTGTATCCAGTGCTGGTCATATGCTAGTGGAAGAGACTTGCACAGTGGAATTTTCCTCTTTTAAATGCCTCTAAATAAGCTCCAGAGGGTTGGGAGAGTAGATTATGGGGGAGCAGATTATAGGGGCTGCAGATTGAAGAAGTGCACAAGTGGAAGTCTGATCATGCTGTATTTTATTCCACTTCACATATATTCTCAAACTGACATTTCAGTAGCTCCAATGACTTGAATCACAAATTCCTTGACCTATCCCATTTTGCATTCATTCTGCAGCATTTGCAAATAGAAGAACAAACCATTTATTACCTTTATTCATTATTTAAAATTTCATCTTCCTTACCTAATGCATATTTTTCAAATCCATATGTGAAAAGGAATGAACATAACATAATGTGTAAATCAATTTTCATTGCTTTATTAGTAGGAATACCCACAAAGAAAAGACCAGGTAGAATACATCCCTGTTGGGTATCTCTTGATAGAGTAAGATTGGATTATATATGCTCATTTGTTGTTACTTTTGCTTTGGGATTGGTTAAAGCTATCCAGTTCTAAATATTGAATCATAACGAAACTCCAAAACTTGAAATAGAAAAGGGCACTCAACATTATCAAATGCTTTTTTCAGTGTCTAAAAAGAGCAAGAGTCTTCTTTAGCGGGATTCCCTTGAACTGCAGTCCTGTTCAAACTTACCTGGAAGTCTCATTGAGCACAATGAGAATTACTTCTAAGTAAATGTGTATAAACTGTGTATAAAATGTGGCTAAAATCCAATACACATTCAAATCGGGGGTGGGGGATGGAATTCCAGCTGAACTTAATGAGTCCTAATTAAGAGTAAACATGTCTGTGATTCCATAAATATTATTTCCCCTACATTATCTGTATCCTCTTACATATAAAGCTAATTGTTCTAAATATTTTATAATAATTATTTAAGAGTGATATTTTTCTGTAAGAAGTAATTTAGAGACAAATTCTTACCTTGCTTAAATGTAGGCTATATAAACTTCTATCCAAAAGTTCTTTTTTTTTTTTTAAGGTTTCATTTACAGTACCTCTTAATGCCTCAGTCAAAATCTTCAAAGACTTTGGAATAGCTGATTAGACCAGTTAAGCTGAGAGCAGTGCAGTATAATGATTAGAGTATTGGACTAAGCCCTGGGAAACCAAGATTTTAGTCTCCACTCAGACACTGAGCTCATTGGGTAACCTTGGACCAGTTGCTGTCTCTTAGTCTAACCTAAATCATGTTGTGAAGTGAAAATGGGGAGAGGGAGAACAATGTACACCCCCTTGAACTCCTTGGAGAGAAGGTGGAATTTAAGTATAATAATCAGATCCAGGAATTTTATGGTGCCTCACTGTTGTTGCAACCTTTTTATTTCCTCTATGGTAACTAATTAATCTAGTTCTTTAGGCTCTGAAACTGTCAGTTTTGTGATTTTTATTAGAGTAAACTTTTGTATATGTGATTGATTGATACTACTTTTTATATAGAGATTTGAAATAATTCCTCTGATATGTCATCATATAACACCTTTAAAGCTGCTGACTACTTCAAATGGGACTTTCTTACCATGTTCTATTTTATATCTCTAACTGAATTAAATTGACCATTGACATTGAGCAAACATGCATAATTTTGAATATGAATTATGAGAAAAAGCCTATGTGTTTTTAAATTCTGTACTCACATTTTAAGGATAGCCATTATCTCCTATGTGTGAGATAAAGGATATTGTCTGTTCTAAGATGGTACCTGCTAGCCTTCGTTTTAGTGAGTATCAATTAGAATCTGCTGCTTGATTGAAACTTCCCTTTTTACTCAGAAGGTTTAATTGCTTAATTGTCACAGCTCTGCTTTCAGAACCTCCTAAACTATTCTATGCTTTTAATGTCAAGTTCCTTGGAAATTCATGAAGGGCATATCTGTTAATACAGTGGTATCTGGTTAAGAACTTAATTCGTTCCAGAGGTCTGTTCTTAACCTGAAACTATTCTTAACCTGAAGCACCACTTTAGCTAATGGGGCCTCCTGCTGCCACCGCACGATTTCTGTTCTCATCCTGAAGCAAAGTTCTTAACCCAAGGTACTATTTCTGGATTAGCGGAGTCTGTAACCTGAAGCGTCTGTAATCCGAGGTACCACTGTACATGTTTTCTTATATTACTATTTTATATATTATTATTTTCTCTGATTTTTTAAAAAACCATATCTATTATATTTTAACCCAGCTATGCCTCCTCAAAACTCAAAGCAGATACATGGTCCCCTTACCCCAATGTTCCAAGTCATGGGTACATTGTGGCTGAGAGGAGATTGGTGTTTAGGTTTAGGTCTCCAGAGTGCTAGCTGTGCACTCTTAAACTACCATCCCACACCAGGCTTTCTTTATCATTTTTTAAAAGACAGCATTCTGATAGTAAGGGCTGTTCAAGCTGTTTAAGAGTGGAACAGTCTCCTTCGGGAGGTTGTGGGCTCTCCTTCCTTGGAGATTTTTAAGCAGAGGTTGGATGGTCATCTGTCATGGATGCTTTAGCTATGATTCCTGCGTCGCAGGGGGTTGGACTAGATGACCCTTGGGTCCCTTCCAACTCTATTATTTTATTTATAATCAATCCTCTACTGCAGAGTTTATTGACCTTTCCCATTACAGATCATGGGTAATATTCAATGTTAGCCATACCCAGAATAGACCCATTACAATCAATGGTCTTTAAAGTCTTGATTTCATTGGGTCCACTGTGAGTGAAACTTAATTGGCTTTCATCTCATGTTGTTTCACTAGTTTTGTTAATTTGGAAAAAACATATATACCCATAATTTTCCTGCATTACAATAATTGTTATACGGCATAGTATTAGTAGTATGTCATTCTTTTCTGATTATTATTATGTGTGTCTCTTACCAGGAATCAAATATGCTTCACCTTTAGTGACGTAGACAGTCTGAGATCTTTGGGATGTTGTAGGTCTATTTACTGGATAGCGCAGGTTGCTTACTAGCCCTTGATTTGGTTTCTCATAAGTAGCAATTAAATCCTTTAAAGTTCTGAAGTCCTGTTTTGGAGCACCCTCAGAAGTCTGCAAAAGAAGTAGATTGTTGCCACATTTTCATTTGATTATACTATTTGTAAACTGCTGTTCCTCACAAGAGCGAAGATTAATTAATTTCACTGAAATGGATAACTAGAATAGTACTCTCCTTCCTTGGAGGTTTTTAAGCAGAGGTTTGATGGCCATCTGACATGGATGCCTTAGCTGAGTTTCCTGCATTGCAGGGGATCGGACTGGATGGCTCTTGGGGTCCCTTCCAACTCTACAATTCTGTGATACTGTGAATATGAAACTGATATATATTGTGCTCTTGGCAGAGTTCCATCCCGCTGAAAATTAAGGTTGTCATGGTGGCCACCAACTGTTAGAATGAACGAATACCCCAAAATAAGGTCATCCAGAGACGTAGATTTTTTTTAAAAAAAGTAGTTAAATAAACAAAAAGGTTAAGCAGGGTGGCATATGTGTCTAGTAGGACCTGTTAAGTGCATATTTATTACATTATTTTACTCTAGATGTAGTCGTTTTCTTACCCAATAAACACACAAGATGTAACCGGCTGTACTTTTGAATAAATAAGGTATAATATTCATTGTATCAAATTGTAGATTTCAACGGAAGTCTCATAAAGTTCAACAAGAAAAGCAGAAGACCCAGTGGATCAGTTCATTCTCTAGTCAGACTGCAACCACTACTATGCTATAAGATCCACTATCCTGTAATATTACATATGAGCCTGTTCTACTGATGAAGCCTAGGACGGCGAAACAAGGCTAATATTCTGGAAATCCTTGTCTTAGACTCTGTGAAAGGATTCTGTGGAACTGTAACAACCCTTCATGTGGATTATTGGACTCTTTGAAGAGACAGGTGGAATAGATACTTTTACATGTAGGGATCTTATGCGTGAACTGACTAGAGAATGAACTGATCCACTGGGTCTTCTGCTTTTTTTATTAAGCCTTCTGTTGAAATCTACAATTTGATACAATGAATAGTATACCTTATTTATTCAAAAGTACATATTGAGTATGTTTCATGTAACCATAGGTTTGTTGTTGTGTCGTTTTCTTACCTGCATCATAAAGTGTCCATTATGTTTCCTGAAGATTCGGTAAGTGTAGATAATCTGTTCATAGCTGATTTTTAAATAGGAAACAGATACATTAATAAATAATTGCCTTATTTGTCAAATTGCTGTAATAGTCATATATGTCAAAGAGTCATTAGGTCTGTAAATCCTATCCAGTTCATTCAGAGAGAAATGGTCATGTGAGCTACCACATTATGCTAGAGGAAGACTGTTATTCATGCTGCTAGATTTCTGATTATCTCTTATGAGCTGAATGGAATCACTGCTATAATTAAATTTGTATAGCACTTCAAAAGAAACAGATGTGTTCTAAGTAGTGTGTACATGAACTCTCTTCTGATGGTATCTGGGGTTGGTAGCAATAATTCCGGCTTTCTGATAAGGAGATCAGAGATAGCACTAGTTTTGCCTAGTTTTGTCCAGCAAGCCGTTAAGATATGTCTTCAGTGTGAGACAAGCAAATGATATTTTCCTACAACTTAGAAACAACAACTAACAAATCAGGGTAATCATGTTTGGGAAATGATGTAAGTTCGATACAGCAGAAACTATAAATATAACTTGATTTCCAGTAATATTTACGACGATGAGGTTTCTTGTACTGATTGAGATCAACAGTCCATTGAGATCAATATTAACTACACTTGCCATCATTCATATGTGATAACTGGTTTTATTATGTAGATCACTCCTCTGGATGTAAACCTGCACATCTAAAAAGACTCTGCTCCTACACCACAAAAACACTGGAGAAGGGATGGTGGAGAATAACATACCAATATATGGGTGAGAGATGAAATCTGTAGCTTACTAGTTGAAAAACTTGCTAATTTTAAGATTTTTTTGTGAACATTGTGCGTGTGGATGGGTTATAAGTACCGTTTACTATGAATATGTAAAGAGACAATTGATTTACCAAATATTTAGAGTTATGGCTTCAATAATTTGAAGAATTTAAAATAGATTTCTGACAAAAATTGTGCCAATATATATTTTACTGTATATGTACATTTTACAGCAAAAGAAGTACTTTGATTTGAGCCAGACTCTAAATTCAACTTACAATCAAAAGCAGAATCGTTTTCATGCGCCCTGGGATTACATTTATATATGCCTAGAGGAACTTCTTTGATTTCTTAAAATCAGGGGGCTGTTATCTCTCAAAAATTCCAAACATAATAAAGATTGGACTCAATACATAGAAAGTTGTGTGTAAGCCCCATTGATATCAATATCTTTTATTTACAAAAATCTATAAACCACTTAATGAAATAAACTTCTGGTGTACGTAATATCATGTTGGCTTAAGTTAGACATGGTTAACTTTCATAACTGAAGTGTAGTTAGGTTTCTCTGAACTGAAGCTATTCTCTCCAAAAGAAACGCAAGATAACTAGTTTAAATGAAAAGGGAAATACTTACAAAACACAAAGGCACAAGACTCCTGGAATACTCTCACTGTTTCGTATTAAAAAGCTCCCATTTTTTCCTGTTTTGCTCAGTAATTTTTCACAGTCGTCTTTAGTTATAGTTCCGTGGAAATACTGCAGTTCCATTTACCTATGAAAATGTTTTCAGATCAATTATTAAAGATTTAGATCAAAAAGAGGATCTGTTCTTTACCTAACTAAAGCCAACCTGTTGAGCACAGATGTTGAAACTGGCACAGCGCCTTTATGAAAGGCTTTCAACTGTGTTGTTTCAGTTCAACAACGTGATTGTTTTTTCCCCTATGCAAAACCTAGGAAACAGCACAGGAAATGTAAAACTGATAAATGGATTAGTCGTCACCAGAGCTCTTTAAACAAAGAACTTTACTGGGTTTCTTAGTGGTTGGTTGTGGGGGAGAAAAGTGAAGATTGAATCATTTCTTGAAATATATTTAAAATCTTTTGTCAGCATGATTAAGATGATTATGAGCTACACAAAGATACAGTGGCACCTCAGGTTACATACGCTTCAGGTTACATACGCTTCAGGTTACAGACTCCACTAACCCAGAAATTGTACTTCGGGTTAAGTACTTTGCTTCAGGATGAGAACAGAAATTGTGTTCCGGCAGCGCAGTGGCAGAGGGAGGCCCCATTAGCTAAAGTGGTGCTTCAGGTTAAGAATGGACCTCCAGAACATGTTAAGTACTTAACCCGAGGTACCACTGTATGCTTATTCAAAAGGATTTTGTGTGTGTGTGCACACCCAACAAATAGTATGATCATCTGTCAAAAATGGAAGGGGCTAGATACAGGTCTTTGGCAAAGTGAACAAGGGTCATTGGTTTTGTCTTGCAAGTACAATCCAGTCCAGCAACTGGAATAGTGTACACGGCAATTGGTTTGTGATACATTGGTCCAAGGAAGGACAACTGCTCCACAGCAAACTCTTACATGTGATATTCAGAACACAGGAGATCCAATTACCTGCAAACTGCTCCACAGGATTTCTCCTGCAATGTTGGGGTGCTAGGCTCAAGATTTTGTTCAGCCAGGTTTTACTCAGTGGTCTGTCAGTTCCAGTTCCTCATAGCTCAATAATGTTCCTATTCTATCAATCTCACAAGCAAGTTGTGAAGGAAGCATTATAGAGCAATGTAAAATGTAACAGAGTGGGGAACAACATTTCTTTATGTCTGATGTTGCAACAACCCTATGTTATAGTCTTCTCTTTTTTCTCTCCCTGTAGATGGAGATCTGTGGCTAATTTTTATTTGAATCTTCTGAATCAAATGAATAAACAGAAAAAAACACACACACGCAAGTGCCAAAGGTTGCACGGTGTGCATTTTATTATTCTGTTACAGTAAGCTCAAGAATGTATTCTTGCATATTTTACTTCAGTGGGTACTGATTCATCCAAAACTATCCAGTACAGAAATTACTGAGCTGGGATTTAAAAAAAATTCATTGATTTCTAAACCGGATACTCAAAAGGTGCCACTTTACACAGTAGATCTACAGTGTCAAATGTGAGAGGGGGGAGGTGATAATGATCTACCCATAAGTCCCTTTCCTACAGGCAAAAAAACCATACTGATTTTTATGCAAGAAGGTGTCCAGCTCTAGGCCACATTTCCATATTCATTCCCACCGCTGATGGGTCTTCTCACTAATATGGTCGTGGTGATGGACTACTGCAGGTTAGGTAAGGTTGCATCCCTACCCCAGCATACTGAGTACTCACATACAAGGAAATATGCATGTATCTGCTTGCCAGATGTTTATCGCCACCAACTTTGACAGCACTGATCACCTTTGAGGAGTACAGAAGGGCAGTGGGCCCTTCACATGGCCTGCCCTCTGATGAAACCCGATTATGTGCTCCTGAATGATCTGGGGGATTTTCCAGCAGAGAAAGTTGATGGCTCTGTTGAAAGTCTGTTTTCTTTTCTTTCTTTTTTTAAATAATATTTATTGAAAAAAGAGTTTTTTTAAAAAATTACAAGGAAAAAAGACAAAACAGAAAAAGAAAAAGAAAAAAATCATTTTCAAATTCTCCACTTTCATTACCTTCTTTCTATGACCTTCTCCTCCTCCCTTTTCTTGTATCTTGATTAATAGTTGTCACAGCAAATCCTTTCCATAATTCATAGTATTCTGTCATTACATTGCCTTACTCTATTTTCATCTTATCTTATAAAAAACCTTAAAGCTTAAGACTTAAATCTTATTTTTACCAACTTCTCATAACCATTACCTTTTTACCTAATTCTTTAAACATTTTTACAAGAGCCAAGTAATTTCATTTCAACATTTTTCTAACATTCATCAATTTTATAAAACATTCCTAATGATAGGGAAAAAAAATAAGAACAATCCAATCTTCTTCCAGCGTCCCTTCCTCCTGGTCCCGGGTTTGTCAGTCCTTTTTATCCCATTAGTCTGGCACATTAACCTGGTGATCTTATATCCAAGGCCTTCAAGTCTCTTCCATGTCCCTTCTGCAGCTCTTCTTCATATTTTCCTTTCACTCGTGGGAACTCCAGCTTGGTAGTGTTTTTGACCCTTTTCAACAAATCAGCCCCCTTCCCATAGTCCAGATTAGACTCCATGTGGTATTTTAAGACATGCTTCAAATTCCCTCCAAAATTGAGAGCCCCCACAGCTCCAAGCATCTGACGGCCCATTGCCAGACTCGGAATATCCAAACATCTCTGCATAGGGGGGTCAGTCCAACCCCCCATTTCCAAATCAATCCAAACTTTATCTTTCCAAATCTGGTTTTTTCCAAGTTCATTTATCAGATCCAAAGGCTCATTTTCCTGCAGGGCCAAAAGTTCCTCCCTTTCTGGCGCCCAAGATTCAGCAACATCCTCTTCTCTCAACTGTTCTGTCATGGCACACTCCTGTTTAAGTTCCTGGGTGGGCTCCATATAGTTTCCCACTACCTGTTCAAGTGTTCTGGCCGCATTAGTCATCAAATCCGTCTTCTGGCTTAACTGATCCAATAGGGCATTTATTTTACAGAAAGCACCCAACAGTGCTTCTGAGAACATTGTCCTACAAGGTCACAAGTCCTTTCCCACGGTTGTAATCTGTGGCAGCTGCAAGCTCCCTAGAATTAGTTAGTTTCACAGTCCCCCTCTAGGGGGAAAACTTCTGGTTGTTCTTTCTTTTAAGGACAATAGCAACAAAGTTTCTTTTTTAAGATATTTTGTCAATATTTGTTCCTTTAAAATGCGAAAGGAAACAGTGGAATCACAATGTTACTCTTCTTTTAACTATCTGTCAAAAACATTTGTCTCTGGTCAATGAGCTTCAAACGTTAATTCTGACACCCCGCTCCAGGATCAGGACGGTGGAAAGTTACTTTACTTTAAACTCACTTCTGCAGGTTTAAACAGTCCAAAAAAGATCCCCCTTCTTCTCCTGCTACCGAAGGGGGGGTTCAACGATTTTAAATGGTGAAAACCAATCCTTTGAAAGTGATTTTCTAAGCTCTAGTTTACGTTGTCTTTGCTTTCTTCTGACTACAAGGAAACGGAAGGCTGACTTCCTGTTTAGACCTTCCCGTTTCAGTACCAAATTAAGGTAAATTTTTAAGTCCAATTCCTTTCTAATTGCCAGTTCTTATTTGAAGTCCAATTGTTCAATGTTTAAGTACTCACGGGTGATTATTTTAGATGCCAAATTGTCCCAGGAAAAAGGCAGCGCTCTCCGGCAACGGCTATGCGGCTTCGCTCCACGGAAAAAGCAATTGACTCACAGCACCGCGCCACTTCCCCCTCTTCGTTTCGGAGCCTGTTAGTGGGTTCCTTTGCGGGTTGGGGGGCGCTAAGGGTGCCCGCCGAGTCCCACAGTCACAGGCTTCATCCGCCTGTGATTTCTAAAAGGGTCCCCGCTTCGTCGCAGCGGAAAAGACCCGTTTCGCGCGGAGCTGGTCCCTCTGGTTCAGAGGGAGTCCACCATTGCCGATGGTGCCACCCCGGAAGTCTGAAAGTCTGTTTTCAGTATGGAATGGTGAGATGGAATGGGCGGTTTACACAATATCTCCCAAGCATCCTCTGGTGTTCTGGAGCCCAAGTGATTCCTTGGTATTTGGGGGGAGTTTCAGGTTTTGAAGCAAGCCAGATCAAGACTGCAGCATTAGTGGCATAAGTCTCACACCAAAGCTGACCAAACTCTGGTTAGTGCATGTAATCCTGCCCGCCATGTGGCAGTGTCAGGTGTGAAGAAGGCTCATTTTGCAGCTTGCATTGTATCCTCTAGGAGCCGTCCAGCAGAGTTCTTTTGGATGTTCCAGAGATTACTGACCCCCTCTGTGTAATTTCAATGCTGTAATTTCATATAATCCTAGAATTATAGAGTTGGAAGTGATACCAGAGGTCATTTAGTTCAATCCCCAGCAATTCAGGAATCATAACTAAAGCATCCTTGACAAGCGGCCATCCAACCTCTATTTAAAAACCTCCAATGAGGAAAAGTTCTTCCTGATGTTTAGTCACAATCTCCTTTCTTGCAATTTGAATCCATTGGTTTGTGTCCTCCCTTCTAGAACAGCAGAAACAAGTTTGCTCCATCTTCCATGTGATAGCCCTTTAGATATTTGAAAAATGGCTATCATATCACCTCTGAATTTCCTCTTTGCCAGGCTAAACATGCCCATCTCCTTCAACCACTTCCCACAAGGCTTAGTTTCCAGATCTTTTCTAATCTTGGTTGCCCGCTGCACATGTTCCAGCTTTGAAATTTACCACAATTCATGCACCTTTCTTCAAAATTCTTGCAGATACTTTGCCCCCTCCAACTCCAGCTCCAAATTGGCTTAAAATAAAATTTCATGACAATGTTAACATTCAGCTTTATTTATTGCAAAATTCGTATCCTGCCAAGTAACTGACTCTTGCAGCAGCTAGTACTAATTTAAAATAGGAAATTAAAAATACAAGAATTACAGATACAAGTAGGTAGCTGTGTTGGTCTGCCGTAGTCGAAACAAAATAAAAAAATTCCTTCCAGTAGCACCTTAGAGACCAACTACCGTAAGTTTGTTACTGGTATGAGCTTTCGTGTGCATGCACACTTCTTGTGCAAACTGCAAACAAGAGAGAGCGAAAAGGTCTGAAAAAGCAATGCAGCTGCCCTCCAAGTAATATCTTGGCCTGCTTTCCTGACCACAGAGGTATTTCTAAATGAGTAGCCAGCCAGCCAAAGGAAAAGGCCTAGTTGCCTCCCCTGCGAGGGTGGAGTAGGTCAGGTCACAGAGGCCAAAGATGACAAGTACCCAGTTTCTACTCAAG